TGGATTTCTATATGCTAAGTTAAACATAAGAAAGCTAAGTTTTCGGATTTCATAATTTGTCTTAAAGTAAATAAAAATAACGAGATATACCTGATAAGTTAAATGCTAGAGTCACTTCAGTGTAAGTGTAAGTTTTTTAAATATAGTGATGAAATTAAAGAGAAGAAATAGTCACAAAATAGGACATGTAAGACCGTAAGTCCGTAACACATTCTTGAAGCTGTAAGACCGTAAGTCCGTAACACATTACATAGACAGCATATTAGCACGGCAACTTGCTTAGATATGAACCACAAGTAATGCACATTCATAGCATACTAACATAACAAGGAGTTTTGGAAGCAAAAGTCACAAATTTCAAAAGTTACAAGTCCTAGCATTAGTACTTAATAGTAGTTCCCTAATGGATCATGTCTTAGCAAAATGTTACATGTAGGCCTAATATACTGGGAAAAGACTTCCATATATAATAGACTAAGACAGCATAAATCGGATTTTTTACGAAACTGAGCCCTATTAGCAAACTATTTACGAATATAGACGCGTGGCCAAACTATTTACGGAATTGAGCTTCTGAGGTAAAACGCTGCCTCGGTCAGCGTTTTACCTCTGTTATTATTTTTTTTTAAATTTCTTATTTAGTGAAATACAAATTTTTTTTTAAAAAAATATGGAAATACATAAAAACGTTGCCTCAGTCAGCGTTTTTGTCTCAGGCTGTAACAGCCCTTAAAACGCTGACTGAGTCAGGGTTTTGCCTGGTATATTTTTCGCGCACTCACTCTTCCTCAAAACTAAAAACTCAAACTCACTCTTCCTCACGCAATAGCCTATCTTCCTCAAAGCTCTGTCGTCGCCGTCGCCGCCGCCGCCTGCTGCCTGCCGCCGTCGCTGCCGCCTATTGCCTACTGCCGCCGCGCCTCTCCTCTTCTTTATAATCACATTGTTAGTACTTCTCACTTATTTGTTTTTAAAATTTAAAAACCCAGGTTAGTTTGATAATTATATACTACATTGTTTTAATTTGATAATGTTGTTGTTTATTCTAAGTTAGTTTGATGTAAATTGACAATTATGTTGATAATTCTAAGTTGGTTTGTTGTAATTTGATAATTGTCTAGTATAAAAGCCCTAAATCGATGTTAGTTTAGTAAGAAAGTTTATGATGAAATTGTGGAAATGTTTGATAAAATTGTTGAAAATGTTGATGAAATTGTTGATAATGTTGATGAAATTGTTGTTTTAGTTTGATAAAGTAGCCTACATTGTTGTTTAATTACGAAAATTTTGTTATGTAGAATATGTTGGTTGTTATAGTGTGAATATGTTCGTTGTGTACTTTGTTGTGGTTGTAATGTGAATTGGAACAATGTTGGTTAATTATGTTTATAGTGTGAATATCTTGGTTGTTTTTGTACGAATTGGTGGAGATTGCATGCAATTAAGATGTGTTTTTGGTTGTTGTATAGAATATGGCTGCACAAAACGCAGCTTTGTTATGCCGATGGGGGGGGGGTGAATTTGTGTCTGATGGACCGAATGTCCAGTATAGTGGTGGAAATATGAAACCATTGCCACTTGGACCGGACATGACTTTCAACGATCTGATGAACGAGGTTCATAGCATTATTGGCTTAAACCCAATGAATGTACAACTTAACATTCAAATGAGGTTTGAGACTAATAATGCGGTTCAAGTGTTACCTTGTTCTAACGATAGACATTTGAAAGCTTTGAGGAGCGCTGTTTTAATGAGGGGTTATCCACATGAGATATATGTAGAAATAGTGTCTACGTGTACGCAACAAAGTACTCGACCAGAGCAACAAGCTACCTATTTTTCCGGTTACACAGAGTCCTTCTGAATGCCCTCACAAGACATTCCATCAACTGAATATGGGATGGGGTCCTTCAGCAGACTGCTTCATGACGATCGGTTCCAGATGTCGTTGAGTTCACATATAGCTTCACCTGTATATGGTGGAACATCTACGACAATGTTTGGCCAATCTGGGCCTTCGATATTGAACACAGTTATATCTTCTCCCATGCAACTCCAAAGTTATTCACCTACGCAGCATGATGATCATACATCACCGTCTCAACCATTGGTGAATCATCTTGAAAATCTACAACATATGGTGAATAACGAGTTGTCTCTGTATGATGCGCTCCGGGAAACAAATGATGAGGCTGAGAGCGAAGAGGAGGAACCAATTTTGGACAACAGCATGGTACGAGGACAAGGTCGCCCTAAGTCAAGGCGCATACGCAATGAAATGGATGAGACCAACCGTCCCGCGAGCAAATGCGGCCTCTGTCACCAGCAGGGTCACAACAAGAGATCGTGTCCCTCTAGATCGACCGGGCACTAATTTTTTATTTTTTCTGTTATCTAGAGTGATGTAGTAGAATAGTACGGTGATTGTATTTCTACATTTCAAATGATTGTAACAGTTGGATTTTTAGATTGAAGTATGAGATTTGAAATTCTGTATTTTGTTATCGCTTATATGTAATTTTTACTTTTTAATTGTTGGATTATAACTGTTTATGAACGGATACCATGGACACCCGAGATAGGACACCCGGACCCACCGACCCTTCTGTCCTTACACTACAGGACACACATCGTAGCGTTGACATTTGGAGTCAGTCGGTTAATCCGGCGGGCATACTGACATGCAGGCACTACACTGTCGCGTTCCTTGGCGATTGGGTTATCGATCCCCGCATTCTGCCTTTCGTGGAGTACGCTGGCTTCATGGGTATACATCGGATGGCGTTCAGAGAGGTCGACCCAGCGCTTGTGAAGAGATGGAGGCAGGAGACGCACTCCTTCCATCTACCTGTTGGGGAGGCGACCGTGATGTTGTAAGACGTGGCGATACTCACACGGCTTCCCATTCATGGGAGTCCGGTGTCTGGATCTGCGTTGGCCGATCCCCCCGGTTATGTAGCTCAGGTTCTCGGGGTTCAGCCAGGACCGGACGATATTAGGGGCGGCGGATTGAGGACCGGCTGGATACGCGACACTTTTCGTGTGTTGCCTGATGGTGCTGATGAGGCCACTATTGCGAGACATGCTCGAGCGTACCTTTTTCTACTCATCTCGGGTGTGTTGTTCGGTGGCAAGAGTGGCAGCCATTTATAGATCATTTACCTGCAGCTGGTAGACCACGACTGGGAGCATATTCGTGGCTACAGCTGGGGCAGTGCTTGTCTGGCGATATTGTATCTCCATCTGTGTAGAGCATCCCGCCGGGGTTCTCGTGAGATCAGCGGACCATTATTTTTGCTTCAGGTAACCTACCTATCTGTTAACAATTTAATTCGGAAAGTTCTTACTTAGTTTACAATTAACCTAGTTTTGTGTGTTTGATGTCCAGTATTGGTCTTGGGAGCACATCCATGTAGGCAGGCCAGATAGGCCTGCTATACATCATTAGGGGCAGCAGGATCAGGACCAGCAGTATGAGCGGTACATTCCTCCACCACGGCCTTCCGCTGACGAGGCGTACGCTTGCAGATGGGTGGTCCCCAAGCTGACATATGCGCATGCGGCGAGGGGCCTGTCGTACTACCGAGACGCCCTTGATCGACTGATCGAGGATCAGGTGAAATCTTTAATTTGTTTATGAAATTGTTATTTATTATGTATACTCTTAACATATTTAATATGCACTAATGTTTATTATGTTACTTTTTATGTGTTATCGCAGATGACATGGGACCCGTATGAAGCTGATTTAGTTGCTGCCATGCCTCCACATCTGCTAGATCATCAGACGCAGTGGCGTTCTAGGGTCCCCCTGATCTGTTTTGAGGTCGTCGAGGGTCACCTACCAGATCGAGTCATGCGACAGTTTGGACTACGACAGACTGTCCCCAGCAGTGTGACACTAGTGCCCGGCTGCACCGCATTGACCGTCGGGGAAAGAGCGACAGGAACTGGCGGACGGAGCATGCCCAGTACATTGACTTGTGGCATCGACGGTTGGAGTTCGTCGTCACTGGTGACCCCATCCACGGCGTTATGGATCCATAAGATCCATACATGGAGTGGTACATGCGAGTTACACGGCGTTTCATCAACCCCAGCTACACACCGCCATCCGCACATTACCATCCATCCTTTGACGTGATCAGGGGATATGTAAGTGTATTTGATTAACTTATTTTTATCAATTTTAAATTTGTATATCATTCAACTAACTCATCCTTAATTACTGCAGGCGTTGGATATGACGGCGATGGTTGACGCACTGTCGGACGTCTTTCCAGGCATACCTGAGCCGCCCAGAGCACAGGTCGAGCGGGTGCGAGATATGGGCATGGCTACCTTGCAGAGATATGGTCACGCCTATCTCGTCCACCCCCGGGACGATCATGGCGGCCACTCTAGTCACTCACAGTTCGAGACTGGCCAGAGTAGCTGTGGGGGTGATCCTTCGTCATTCACGGGCGCAGAGGAGTACGACATTCGCAGTTCTGCGCCCCAACGTCATCCTGATGACCCATCTTCCAGCCAGCTGACTCCGCCAGTACGCCCGAACCCATTTACCACGGTCCGTCACTACAGCCGTCGTCAAAGGCCGAGAGTGGACATACATGATAGAGAGCCGTTACACCAAATTGATGAGTCAGAATAGGATAGAATTATCTGATTTATTTGCTGTAATGACCTTCTCTAATTTGTTGTACATAACACTTACATTACATTATTATTTGAATAATTATTTGAATGAATTTATATCTTGTTTGAATTTCAAATTCCTTATTTGTCCACGTTTGACTCATTTCGTTCAAAATAAATTGTGGATGTGGAGGTGGTGAATGTGGAGGAGGATGGGTGGTGGAGGTGGTGGATGTGGAGGAAGAGGGTGGTGGAGGTGTTGGAGGATGTGGAGGAGGAGGGTGATGGTGGATGTGGAAGAGGGTGGTGGTGGTGGTGGTGGATGTGGAGGAGGAGGGTGATGGTGGCGGTGGATGTGGAGGAGGAGGGTGGTGGTGTTGGTGGATGTGGAAGGGGGCTGCACTGGCTGCTGTTGCCGCCTTCAGCCAGCAGGCAGCGTTTTATGCTTAGGTGTAAAACGCTGACTTAGTCAGCGTTTTTCTCTGTTATGGATACAAGAAAAATGCTGACTGAGTCAGCGTTTTACAGTATTTCCAATTTTTTTTTTTTAAATTTGTATTTCACATAATACGAAATTTTATAAAAAAAAATAATAACCAAAGGTAAAACGCTGACCGAGGCAACGTTTTATGTCAGAAGCTCAGTTCCGTAAATAGTTTGGCCACGCGTCTAGATTGGTAAATTGTTTGCCAATTAAGCTTACTTTCGTAAAACATCCGCATAAATATGAGGTTTGCATCTTAGCACCATATACTTGTATCAAAATGAATCCATGTCACCATCGTCGCGCTCATGAGCTTCTTTTATTTGCCTAGATCGGTAGAGAATTTCATGTCTGATAAAACTAGAGGACATCTTCTAGTATAACAATGTTGTCCGGACCAGGAAGATTCTCCAGTTGTCATCCCGGCCAAGTCCTCTATTACAAAATAAAGATGATCAATAGACAATAGAGATGTTCACAAGGATCTGCAGTTATTCAATGTTCCACCACTTGAAAAGATGAAAAAAAACTCAAAATTAAAAACACGAAGGAAAAGAATACCGGATCTTAATCAGGAAGTATCTCCGGCTGATATACCGGCCAAGTCCCCTATTTAAAAACAAAGATGATCAATGTCAAAATCAAAATCAAAATCAAAAGGATATGCAATTATGCAGTGTTCCACCAATTGAAAATACGAAAATAACTCAAATAAACAGAACATATAGAGGGTACCTCTGGTGGTTCATTAGGCAACTCAGCCGCAGGATGAGGTGAACTTTGAGTAGGAACATAACTCTCAATGATAAACACCTGATCATCAAAGGTTGCAAGTGTTCGCTTTGAGCATTGATCGAGCAAGCCCAGCATCCCAGGCTTTTCACGAGTATAAAAGACTTTGCCAGTCTTTGTGAACCCAAACAATTGTTTACAGTATTTGAGTTCTTTAGGATCTTCGATCATCAAATCACACGAGAAAACAACAGAAGACACCCTTGGAGGACGTTTCACAATCTCAATAATCAGATCATTTTGAGAGTTTGAACTACATTTCGATAAGCACCCTCCCATCACACATAATGCATCGCCCAATAGATGGTTAACTGAGAGAGGAGGGAAGAACTCGAACGTCTCCCGGGCTAAATCAAAGGCAAGGGTTCGGCCTCTACACATACTCGAATACAAAGTCTCATTTACTAGATGTGCATGACCTATAGTCATATCACCTTCCCCCAAACCACTTTCGACCATCGACCACATATTGGATCTAAGTGAATAAACATGAACAATATTAAGTTCTCCATTACAATATGATGGGATTATCCTAACAACTTTATAGTTGTCCTCAGATGATACATACCCAAATCCCCAATTAACCCAGCAACGCCCCCCTCAATAAGATGAATCAGCAGGGTAGTATTTGTGGGATTGGTTAGTGTTAGGGTTATTCAAATAGAAATATTTTCCATATTTTTGAGCTAAACAAACCAACCCATTTGCAGATCCAACCAATATAATCTCATCAATTGTAGTATCAGCTTCAAAATTAACATCTAATCTAACCAAATTGCTTTCAACATTATCAACAACACCATCATCATTATCATGATTAGTGCAAGAGTAAAGGTAAAAAGTATTACCAGATTGAATAAAGAGGGAATGAAGAGGGGTAAAAGGGTCACTAAAGATAATATAACCGGAATTAATTTTAAGATTCCATTGTTTAGAAAGTAGCTTACATTGGATTAAGGGTTTGATGGGAAGACAAGGAAGGATGTGTTGAGCAATGATTTCATCTGGAAGATGCCGACTTTCTTCTTCAACATCATCTTCTTTAGCCATCTTGCCATTGCAGTTGTTGTCTTCCATTTGTAACCCTTTTCCCTTGAATGAGCTCATTTTGTGAGTTGACAAGAGTGAAGAGTGAAGAGAGTGAGTAGAGAGAGTGAGTATGCTTTTCTTTAAATAGAGTACAGTGAGATTACTTGATGGAGTAGTCTGTGTAATAAATTTGTTTTCTAAAAGAGAAACAGACTAATGTAACACTCCGTGAGTAGAGAGAGTTATGATACTAACGCCGTCAACTGACGAATACACAGGCGTTAACTCTTTATTGCTCTTTTCGTCAAATTGCTTGTGCTCCCACCCAAGTCTAACCGTAGTACACTACGTGTGCCCCTAATTGCTACGTCAACGTGAATTGAATGACAGTGTAATTTTTTCCAAGGAAATGAGAAAATGAATTGGTGCAAGTAAATTGGTGCCATTTTAAATACTCCCTCCGTATTTTTTTTAAGTGTAATATTTCTTCTTTTTTTTTTGACAAAAAACTACATTAAAATATTATATCTCTTTCCTCTCATGGTCCTCATCAAACTCGCTGTTAATTTTTTTTTATTATTATTATATCTTTTCTATCACATTTATTATTTTTCAATAAACTATTAACCCCAACTATCTTTCTTTTAGAATGTTTTAATACTCCAACTACCCCACTTACCTCTTATTATATTTAAGTCAATTAAATTGTCTAAAACTATGTGTCGGTCAAAGTGTAACACTTAAAAAAACACGGAGGGAGTATATCTTTTATGAAATTAGAATGAAAACTTTACGGTATGTTGATTTACCCAAATTTTTATTAGTGGCTGATAACACCGTGTGGCAGCAATTACTTGATTTATTTGGTCAGGGATGATTTGGGCGGTTCAGTTAGGGAATACTCGGTCAGGGGTTCCTTGAGAGGTTATTCGGACTAGGGTTACTATACTCGATTACAGGTTCCTTGAGGAATTCGGTCATGAGTTACTCGAGGGTTACTCGATCAAAAGTTACTTGAGGGATTACTCAAGCAGGGGTGACCGAGTAACTGGAATAACCCCAGCCACACAGAAAAATCTAAGTTCGAAGATCTACATACTAACTCACCGTTAACCACACCAAATTTAAAAAGTTTCTCAATTTTAAGGGAAATTTCAATAATTAGCCATAAGATGATGGATATATTATTCGTCAGATTGAATATCTTTAAAAAAAAAAAGAAAAAAAAAAATTGTGTGAAGATGGTGATATTTTATTGTGGTGGCTTATGAATAGTTGATTATTTTATTTATTTTTTTAAAATAATTTTGATAATGGCTTAAGCTTGTGTGAAGCCAAGAAGAATTGGAGAAGTGTAATTTGTTTTAGACAATTTATAAATTATAATGCTAGCTAACAACCACAAAGTGTCAACTCCTCATTCAGTATAACATATTAATGGCTCAAAGTTTATGAAAATGTGATAATAACAGAGGACATAGCATGAAAACTTGAACTGCTGGTTATGAGCCACTAGTAATTTACACAAGCATAAAAGATTTTTACATCCCTTCATTGTTTATAAGATTCATAGCATACTAGCAAAGCATAGAGTTTTGGAAGCCAAAAGCATAGCAAAAGTCGCAGATTTCTAAAGTTACAAGTTGTAGCATTATTTCACAAAAATAATGTAAATGCCTCGTTAAAAGTATTAAAACGTGAACACGTAAATCGAGACATTACTTAATAAGCAAAACGAGACATTTAAGTTATTTTTTTGCCAAATTTGAGCTAAATTTGGACCCTTAAGACCCGAAATAGCCCCGAAAACATTTGATAGAACATTTTCCAACAAGCAAATTGATTAAAAAAAATATTAATAAATTGAGAGTGGGCCTCATTAACGGAATTTTTAACGGCGGAATAATGGTAAGGTTATCGTATGGAAACAAAATGTATATTAAGGTTACAGTGTGAAAAGTGATATATGGTAGGGCACAATGTAAAAAAGTGAAATTAACAGGGTTAGTATATAGAAAAACCCAATAAGAAATGAAGTAAGTATTTCAAAACAAAGAGAGGGAGTACTTTGCACCTTTTTGGTTGAATTGAGATGAGAAAATCTTAAGTTAGGTTATTGAAAAAGCAAAGTCAGAGTAAAAATAAATTGGATGTGAGACGTGACTACACAGCCACAGGGCAGGGGTTAGACTGATAGACTAGCGCCACTGCAGTACTAGGCATCATTAAAATACTCCAATAGACCATAGTATGTCCAATTGTCCATGCCATCAAATCCACCAAAGAATTGAAGGAGTATGACGGGGGTTAAATACTTAAATGTAGCGATTGAGGCTGGTTTTCGCACCTCAATTCGTTTCGTAATAATTGTAGTACTTACTTAGATCATGCACATTTTATTGCATAATTTTAATTATTGAAAATTATTAAAATTTGCAATTACTCGTATATATTATAAAGAAGGATTAAAGGTTAATGTAATGAAAATAAACCAGACTATTCCAAAAATATTTTATATATCATATATTTTTTATTCTAAACTTGATCATATGTGTGGTTCTTTGTCAAGCATATTTGGTCCATTTTCAAATTTTAACCATGGGAGAATGGCCAAAGGGTGTGTACGGATATTATTCAATCATACTTTAATTCTCTCTAGTGACCTTATATGGTTACTATCCTTTAGTTTTCGAGTTGAGGTCTTAAAATTCCTACAAATGATCTAATTTCATTCATTAACGTCTTTTAATTTGGTCTTTGAAGAACATATTCGGACCCTTGCTGTACTATGTATCAAGGTGATCCTCTCGAACCCAAAGGGCCTCGAACCATTTCACTCATGCATTGGTCCAACACTCCAACCTTACCATATATGAAGTATAATATGAGTAATAGCCCTATAACTAACCATTTACTCCGTAAAATGTTTAACTAGTTATTCTTCTATTAATGTGAGACACTCATGTATGTCATTTAAGCTCTTTTTCTATGATTCAGTCTCGTGTGATGCTTAATGGGCTAGAGTGCATCTCTTCATTCATTCACACATGGATCTAATTCATTATGACCCAGCATAAAAAAAGTTTCAACCGTGGGCTTAACTCTTGTACTATCTCAAAAAACAATTCAACCAAAAGAATAAGACTACTTTATTAGGACCTCTCTATTTAAATTTCTGTAGCTTTTGCTTTGTGTTTGACATTTGGAACTGTTTGCTATGCAATGAAATATGAATTTATGATCAACAGAGAGAAGTAAATTTCACAACTAATGTGAATTACGGTGACTAAACTAGTAATGGTTGCATCCCCCCCCCCCCCCCCCCCCCCACACACACACAAAAAAAAAAAAAAAACGGAATTAAGCAAAACGTGATTTCAAAATTTGTTGTGTAACTGAGAAACAAGTTTAATAGTAGAGTTAGTGCTTTCTAGGATCTCATATTGCAAAATTTGTTGTGTAACTGAGAAACAAGTTTAATACTTCCTCCGTTCTGTTAATATTGCAACAAGGAGGAAATTACGCATCCCAAAACACATTTTATATGCTAAATATCTATAATTGTATAAGAGTAAAAATTATAAAAAATTGATATTGTGAAAGTATTATATGAGACGAATCCAACAAGATGTCATTTGACTATATTTTGCTTAACATATAACTCATATTATATGGTCAAACAAGAGTGATGAATAGTGCAAAAAGTCCATTGTTGCAATATTAATAGAACGGAGGAAGTAGTAGAGTTTGAGTGCTTTCTAGGGCCTCATAGTTAGGCACAAGCATATATATAACAATGTCAATTTTGTAAATAATGATATTTCAAGAATACTACTAAGAGGCAATACATTACTATTGAACATTCTCAGTAGTACTATATATGATTTCAATAATACAAAAGACTCTGAATAGTAATTTTGTGTGTCTAACGGTAATGTATTAGGACTTTCCCATAGAGTTTACACCTTTCAACCATGAAGTTGGAGCATTTAATTTTCTTTGAAATCTTAATGATGATTGTTCATTTATTATTACGTGGTTGTAGTCATCACTATTTTGATATTTTCCTTTCCAAAGCCTATTGTATCCATTATTTTAATTTGTCATTTTTCATTCCTGTCTCCGACCCTCTCTCTCATATCCAAATGATAAAAGTTACTCGTATGTTGTTGTGATCTACTATGTGTGTTCAATATAAAGAGTTGTTGGATTTGTTTTACAATACATTCTTTTTACCATATTATTACAGATACAGAAAATAAATTATAGTTGGTCCAACCGTAATAGATGACTAGATAGCACCATCAGTTTTTATTTGTTGCAATACAAAATACACTTTACAAACTACTACGTATAAAATAAGATATCGTATTATACAAGATAGATTAAATATCCATAATTAAGTTTTGCTTAACAAAAAAGTGTAATAGAGTACTTCCCCTGTTCTTCAACACTTCTCACTTCTGTAAACTTCAAACTACAAATGGTGGGATTAAACTAGGAAAGTAGCTCACCATATAAGGTTTCCGAGCTTCATCGAAAGTTACAAGGGGAATGTACTGCTTAGGGGATGAATTCATATCAACCAGAGCTAGCTCCCAACTCTTTGATACCACAAGTGACTTGCCAGTCCCTGTGAATCCCACCAGGCTTGAGTACGACCACGATTTCGAGTTAGAGGATAGTAAAATTGATTCCACAACCTCACCGGATTGCTTCATCATCGATAAATAAGACTCCTTATGCAGGTTCGAGCTGCACAAGGACAAGCACCCTCCCATGACACACAGAAAGTGATTATGAAAACCGGCACTCCTAGGAAAAAGACCGGGAATTTCATCAAACTTCTCAAGTTTCAAATTGAAACCTACAACAACATTCTTCCTAGTAGAATCTCTTGTCTCCATGATCCAATAGAGTGTGTCGTTCACCAAAACACCAGGGTTAGTTTTGGCTAAAGAAACGCGATGATCAAGCCCATGATCATGAATCTGTTTCCATTCCTTGGTCTGCAATGAGAAAACTGACACACTGATTTCCTGAGTGTCATAGTTTTCTGCTATTCTCACTACCTTATAGTCATCAATAGAGGAAACATAGGCGAAACCCCAAGAGATGCAGTAGTTATAAGAATACAAGCAGAGGTCAGAAAACTTCTGCCAATTATAAGCAATGGGGTTCCAAACATAGATGTAACCTGCTAAAGAATCTGATAAACATACTAGGCCGTTACACGAGCCTACCAAACGAAGCTCATTTAGGCTGTTACATTCAAAATTAGGCTCAAGTTTCACTAAGGAATAATCAAGCACTTTTTCTCCTTCTTGAAGGTAGAAAAGATAGAAATCTTTTTCTGCTTGAATAAACAGGCAGTCTACAGGAGAAGAGGGACATAAACTAGAGTAACAAGTTTTTAAATGAATATTAGCAAATTCTTTAGAGGAGACAGTAGTGTACCATTCTTTGGAGACCAACTTTGATCGAAGCAAGGATTTGATAGGCAGTCTAGCCAGTATCTGATGCATTAGTATATCGCGAGGGAGCTCACTTTTCTGCTCAAGAACATCTTCTTGATCCTTATTAACCTCCCTCGCGCTTACAATGCTGCTTGTTCTGGCAGTATTGCAGGATTCAGTAAGCAATCTGATTCCTGAAACTATCTTCCGATGATGTTTCTGACGGATGATGGTTTTCAGACAGGTACTCCTATCTTCATATTCACAAGTATTCATTAATAACTCACTCATTTGATTCATTCTTTCCTATATCCTTTCTTTTGCTTCAGCTAGAGAAGGTTTGATGGATACTCTCATTTGGCAGTTGGATTGCTCTATAAATACAAGAAAAAAATAGAAGCATGTGTTGACAGTTGTGTTTCCTCCCACCCTAATAAATAATTGGACATCTAACTTTATCGACGCTTAACTTTGATATTAATATATTTGAAATATACATTGAGTCTAATCCAACAATACTTTACACAATGATAATATTTTCTTTAGATTTTAGTAAAAATTATAATGAAAGTTAATGCTCGCAAAAGGCTAATTAAAAAATGTTGAAAACGAGTACGCGTACAAGTGTGGATACAGCATGTTTATTTTAAAAATAAGTTTATCTTGGTCCAAGATGAAGACTAAATTTAATTAAAGAATACAAGAAACATGAACCACGTAAACAATTAAGAAGATAATAGTTTGTACATAATAGAGATCGTTATTCAGCCAGCAGCCTCTATTCTCCACATAAATGAAAAACATATTAAAATCATAGTGACAAATGATGACATAAAAGCTCATTATTCTTTTTGGTGCAACAACATTTCATTATTAACATGATAATAGGTATCTTAATATTGGATTAGGATGCCAAGCCAATTATGACGCGACGAACAAGAAGTTAGACGGTAATTAACAAACCATTTAGTCTTAAAAAGCTAAATCAACAAGAAATCTTACATATATCATCGTCCTTTCTCCACTAAATTCCCAACCATTCTCGTCTTTTTCTTCAATTCAATATAGGGTCTAATTAATGACTTTAATCCATGATTAGGAATCCAAATTACCCCCTCTAATTGCCCCTTAAGAAAAGCACTAGAAATTTCAGGAAATTCCATATTATGTTCATTTAATAACTTTATTATAAGTATGGAATTTGGCTCTTGCAAATAACAAAAAGACAGCAGAAATTATAGACAGATTTAGAAGTAAAACAAGATTCCTGTAAAAAAAGATTACAGGATAATCATGTAACACGAGGGCATGTGTTCGAATCCACCTAATAATCATACCTTATCATCTTATCTTCTAATTAAGTCAATGACTAAATCCAGCTTCAACAGCAAGATTTCATAAACAATTCCCACAATTTACAGACTGCAGAGTTCTAATTCAAAGAAACAGTTCCTATCTTATTAGACCTGTCAAATCGACATCGTCATATTTGGTAACACATCTTAGGATAAAATTATTCGGGTTAATTTTGGTTTCGGGTTGATGACTGTGTTTTAGATTTCAAGATTGTCAGGCAGGCTGTTATTGGGTATATTCCGAGTTAGCTTCTGACAGTTCAACCTTAACTCGAGTTTAAAACCTGTCTACATTGCTGGAATAATATGGTAAAATTCAGAGGACTCTTGAAGAAGAAAACTGTAATGAGGATAACCGAAACTGACAGTATGCATTGATGCAAACTAAATTATACGGAGTACTAAAATTGATCCTATACAATCTGACATTCTGATCACTCATAAATTCTGACCCTTTCAGATTGCAAAATCCAGTGACCTGATAATTGATGATACAGAGAAGCAAGTATGGCTAACTGTAGGGCCAGATGAATCTACCATCACTAGTCCGATACGACACTACCCCACCCTCCACCCACCCCCTCGCCCCCGCCAACCGAAATCATACAAGAGTAACAGTAGGACCGGACACATGGTGGTAAATCTCATGGAGCTTTCAAAGGACAGTTTGGGTGGGTCTCTAAGCATAAATGCTAATAAAGTCATAATTCTCCCCAAATTCGACTCTAGCAGGACTTTCGTCCATGTAGTTGCCCATTACTGAGCACATGAAGGCATGACCCTCTTCTGAACTAGACCTTATTACCTATCATAAGACTCTGTCCCCTGAATCCGATACAGAAAAAACAATGGAAGGTTATGAAGGTCTGAAATCAGAAGTTTTTAATTTCGGAAGAGAATCAGTGATCGAAATACAAAGTTCAAGTCATCAAACTTGGATCCTAACAACAGATTAAGGAGGTCAATAAAAAGTTCTTACAGGCATTACTGTTGTAATTTACAGCTTTTCAGAATGCTTTTCGCCAAAAATTATCTAAGAACCGCTATCATCTAGGATCAATACAGGCTCCAGGGGAAAAGTCCATTACTTGATACTTAAATCTTCTTACATTGAACATCTTCATACAAAAATCGTATTATCCAGTTAGGCAATGAATTAATGACAAGAATGAGTCAATGACTCCATTGGCTAGTTTGGATCTTACAGGAAACCACAGTAACAGAACATGTGCCTAACAAATCTAGCAGACAGCAATTAGGGGGCGACTTAGATAATAATAAGGCTTGGTGAGAAAAGCTCAATGTTGGACAATAATAGTAATGTCTTCCATGTTCTATGAACAAAAAACTTCCTGAATATTATTATCTGATGAGTCTTAACGTTGTGTACAGGTCTTTACAAAGGGAAGACTCGATCAGTATTATTATCTGATGAGTCTTAAAAGCCCCCTGAGGCCTGAGTGGTGTCATGAGGTCAACTCATGACTGATTTTAGGTGCTGTATAATCTATGGTGTCTGAGTTAAAGTGGCCATTCTGGACTCTCAGAAGTCAGAAGCTCCTTGGTGCTTCAGGCACTTACATCCAAACATTCCACCAGCATCTGAAAACATACAAGTCACAGTTTGAACATATGACCTTTGAAAGGAGCTTTCATACAATTAATATATTACCTCAAAACCGCTAACAAACATCCTACCTAGGCCCGGTTAGAGAAGGCAGATTTATTTAGCCTCACATATACAAATGAAAAGGAACACTTTTAGCCTTTGGAATGGGCCTTACCGGGGTTGATTATTGTTTGTTATTATCTAATGCTGTAGTAGCCAATAGCTACAAGTCACCTTAAAAATCTTGCAAGGACCTAAAGAAACTTCCTCCTGAATACAATAGAAGATTTCCACTAACTTCGAAAATACACCTCACTGGCTATTTTTGGCTTTTTTTTTACTTAGGGTGGGGGGATCATCTAAATCAATGGTTTCGGTGGCCTTTAACATAGCCTCAACGACACCCAGAAGATGATCTAAAAAAACAGTATGCAGCAACTGAAAGATGTTAACAAGCATTGAAACATGGAACTCAAATTCATAAAATATCAGAAGTCAGAAAATGAGATACATCTGCAACTGAAAAACAGCATGAGAAATGATAAATGTAACATTCCAAAAAGATGTCCATTTTGCATTTCTTCATCTGCTTTCTTTTTCCATTTTTTTTAGGGAGTTGAGGGTAATTATTGCAGAACATAAATACATATTTGTTTACTACTAACAACACAATTCATAAGGTAGTTTCCATGCAATAATTTCATGCAATATATACAAAAAGAATACAATGATAAATGATAATTGTACCGTTCCACAACATTGGAAGGAACATTCAAGAGAAAGGAGAAACAGGACTCCGAATGTAATTCACTACCTCAATATCACCCAAATCTTTCACTAATGATATAAAACGTGGCTGACCTTGATCCGGATCAACTAGCAAGAGACATCCATCATTTGTTTTGACCAAAACTTTCCCGCTCTCTAAGCATCCATAGAAGTTATCCAAACCCGAAATCATGTCAATCTTGAAAAGTTTCGTCCAAGAATCCCACACCCCATATTGCATCAACATCCACATTTCCACCCCACCATAGATATCTTCACCCCAAACACACAATGATCCATTCATCTCACTCAATTTGAAGTCCAAAAAATGATCATTACGCCAAAACACCCTAGGCATCCTCACATCCTTGAAGCTCGCATCAACCAAATCAAAGCCACTTATACACTTAGCATTCGTTCTTCGAAATTGGGTAGTAAGCCAATGCAATGTCTCATTAACCAATACTCCTCTACCACCCAAATATATCGAAAACTCATCTTCATCAAACGCTCCGATTTTCTTCCATTCATTAGACCTTAATGAATAAATATACACAAAATTCTTATAACTCTTCCTCTGAAGACCACCAACCAACATCAAATAATCATTTTTACAAGAAACAAACCCAAACCCAAAAATCAATTTCCCTTGAAAATTCCCTAAAGGATCTGACACATGAAGAAACTGACCCATTACTGGATTATAAACACGAAAGTTATAACCAAATTTACTAAAAGCAGTTCCACGCCCAAAACATACTAATCCATTACATGAACCAATTAAGAAAGTATTCACACCATTATCATCAAAATGAAGACTTTTAACCTTAATCAAACCCTTTTCATCATAATTATCATCTGGGTATCTATCATATGCAGAATAATTAAGAATGTAAAAATCATAAGCAGATTTAATAAACACACAATTTGAGGGCACAAAAGGGTTTGAAATAGTGCATTTGAGATGGGAATTGATGAAATTTGGGGAGGAGATAATGAAATTCCATGTTTTTGAAACAGATTTGAAGCGGGTTAAGGAATTTACCGGTAATCTTGGAAGGATTTCAGAAAAGATGAGTTCTTCAGGAAGTTCAACAGAATTTAGGGGTGATTGAAAGGGGTTATTTTGGGGTTTATTGTTTGTTTTCTTCAACCTCTGTTTCTTCCTTTTCCTGTTTTTTTCGATTGATCTCATCATTTTAGAATGAAGGGTTTTGGTTTTTGGAGGGGGCAACCGGAGGTTATGCCGCCGGTGACAACAAAAATTTTTGAGCTTGACTTTATTATATATCAATGTATATGCGCTTGACTTCTTCTTTGATCGTTGATTTGTTACTCGTATTTTTATACTCTATTTTTTTTTAATTTTTTTACTCTGTACTTTATACTGTATTTTTCTTATAGATGAACCCCAACATAACTTTTTTTTTTTTTAATTTAAAAAAGTTAAAATAAATTATGTGGATAATATTCATCAATATCAACTAAAATAAAATGGATGCATTGATTTTGTTGGATTTTTTCAAAAAAAAAAAAAAATTAAAAGTATATTTATTGAACAATCTATGCATCCTTAAATCGTGCTTCTCCTTAAAGCCGCCGGTGACAACGCATGATCAACCTCCCAATAACAATAATGGACAGATAATGCATGAATTGATAAAATTGTCTTGCAAAAAAACATATTGTCATTGTAGTTAACCTTCACCAAAAAAATTCCTTTGAAAAGCCAACAAGTTTGTCACACCATTTAGGTCTAGACTCTAGAGCAAATGGATCCTATTAGTTAGAACTGGTTATTGGGCGGGTCGGGTTAGGGTCGGTTGAGGGTCGGGTCAAAGAGGGTCACATATTATAGGGTCAATAATGGGTCGGGCCAATACGGGTCACGGGTTAATAGTGGGTCGATAATGGGCGGGCCTACAAAATATCAATTAAAAAAAAAAATTGGACAAAGCCATTATTAAGTATATATGAATATAAATTTAGCTATGTAATTATTTTTGAGCTTGCCCAGGTTGATCTCCGAGATAAACTTTATCTCAGGGTAAATTCGTCTTTTTGCGTGTAAAAGTAAGGATATTTATGTCAACATTTTTTGGATGAATTTCTACTGTTATATAGACGTTAAGTGGACATAACTAACCATGGTTAGTTGTTGTCAGCCTCACACCTTCCCAAACCCAAGAACACTAACACGTAAGCCTTAGTCTTCTTCAGTTTGACTGTTCTTCAATTCAGCTTTTACAGAAAAAAAAAAAAATTAAAAATCACTATCATCTTCCTCCTCAGTACATCTCCATGATTAATCCATGGTTTCCTTTCCTCCTTCCTTCACATTCCCGACCCTGCTAGCACCTTCATCTTCTTCCTCCTTCTTTGATCCCAAAACACCTTAATCTTCTTCGTTTTCTTAATTTTGCCGCCAAAAACAACGAAAACCCTATTTCAAAATGTATTAATTAAGGGAATGGTTAACCCCTAAGGGAAAGGTGTTTTCGCAACCACCGCTTGACAGATCTAGCAACCCATTTTCATGAACTTTGTGAGCTTTCCTTTTCTGTTTCTCTCTTGTGTCTCTTTCCATTGAGGAGGAAATGTTAGACTAATATAGTATATTCATACTACTATATTAGTGTCACAGTGTTCAATATATGGAAATGTTATACCATGGGTTAAAGCCCTTGGTTTTGACGTTAACGTTGGGGAAACAACTTTATCACCGTTACTTTGCTCTCACATGACAGCTGACAGAGTTGGGGCCCAGAACTCGTGTTTCATTGGATCTTTGTAAAAACCAATGCAATTTAATTACAAAAATGCCACAAGATAAACCATGCTTGTTTATCACCGAGATCAACTTGAATTTTACATAATCTATTTTTTTATCAATTAAATTGGAAAAACATTTTGGCCTGATATTGACCCTGTCCGATAAGGGCCCTATCCATTAAAAGCTCTCTAAGCTTAGCCCTGACCCTATTATCATTGGGCTACCCTACTTTATAACCACCTCTACTATTAGTCCTTGTATTGCAATCTCCATATTGTTTTAACATCCATGCCATGAGCCCATGAGTCCTCCAAATCAAAAGTAGACAATTAGTACATTAATAGTGTATAAGTCAAAGTAAAACATTGTTACAAATACAAAAGGTATATACTCGTATTTCTTAATACTCTACATCGCCTTTAAGTAGGGGGGAATGGGAGGTCATGATAGACCACTAGTCCACTTCTATTTTCACCCAGCAATCAATGTTGTTGTTTTTTTTACAACAGCAGAATACACAAAATAGCTAGAAAGCAGGAAGAAAATAAAAAAAAACATCAAAAGGAATAGAGGTAGCAAAACATGAGACAGTCTGACGACACTGATTTGCAAGCAGATGAGAGTGGTTAACCTCTTCTCTACCGACCTGTAGGAAGATGCAGTGTTGAAAATGCTTACCTATCCTTCAGATTTCCTTGACTATCCAGAAGAGGTCCATTGATAAAAACATCTTCTTTACTCAACGAGTAGATTAACATAGCAGAGTCATTATAGAGTTGTATGGATACATATCCATTTTGTCGAGCCCAGGCCATAGCTAAAAGGCAAGCCAGACCCTCAGCATGAAGTGCCGAGGAAGCAATATCAGAATTACCCCCCGCAATCAATGTTAATACTCCATACTTTGTATAATTTTATATTTTTTTTTCCTTCTATTTAATCTGATATAATTATCACAATTTATTTACTTTATTTTTTTGAAATGGAAACTTAAGAATTAACACGTTCATATGTACTGATTAGGGGATTTTTATCCACCAATCACCGTCTGACAAGTGGACCAACCAGGTTCCGCCACGTGTCCTTCACGAAGGCCAATAGGAGCCTGCCACGTGTCAATCACAGATACGTCCTCTACGGACCAATCGAGGCACGCCACGTGTCCACCCATGCCAAATGGGAAAACCGGCCAACAAGGCCCAATCCTGTCTAGAGGCCCGGTCAGCCCTAGGTTTACCCTAAACCTAGAGAGTGGCACGCTTCTCAAGACTATAAATACTTAATTAATCCTCATTAAAAGGGATCAAGCAATTGAGAGGCAATTGATCAAGCAATTGAGAGGCAATTGATCAAGCAATTAATCTCACCTGAAGAACAGAGAAGAACAAAAACATTACGGAACACTAATAACCGGCTAATCTCGCTAACAAAGCAGATTACCAACATTAAACACTCTCACCTAGAGAGGTCTTATTACTTTAATTTCCGTATTAATTACTCCTTAATCAGGTACTAACTTGACCGTTGGAGGCGGAGCTCTCAGGAGTCTCCGTTATTTTGCAGGTACAGGCGTCCGGTTCCAGTCTCGGAATTGTAAGTCTCCCGCAGGACATCAGAAAACCCCGAAATATTTGGCGCCGTCTGTGGGGAGAGTACTTCAGAGATGGCATCCAAGTCTGTACCGACTCCTGAAGAGAGGCGTCCCCTAAACGACCCTCAAGTTCAGTCGGATCATGACACCGAAAGTGAATTTGAAGTGGAAACTCATACAGCTCCAGACGGGACCCTAAGGGCCCGACGTACCCGTCATACCGAAAGGAGGGAACGGGAGCATCTTCAAACAGGAAGCGAGCCAGCAGGCGCACCGCCTGCTCGGCAACAGCCGACTGATGGGTCTGCTCCCATCACAAGGAACGAACTCATGACCTTCATGAGGGACTTCAAGGGAGAGATTCAAGAGTTGATCAACAAAAAGCCGCCTGCTTCAGTCAAAGAGCAGTCGGCCAAAAAACCTTCCACTTCACTGAAGAGGAAGCCAGTTCAAGGGCGAGAGGCGACTCCTCATCCTAAATCCAAGAAGCGGGAGCCACCTGCTCTTGATTTCACAAAATTTCGTTATCCTACGGGAAATAGGAAACCGGTTCGTCATATTCAGGCGGACGGGTCAAAGCAAACGTTCACAGATGCTCGGCTACTGCTAGAGCAGAAGAAGAGTGACCGATTGTCAGAGTCGGCTTCTACTTCAAATTTTCAAGACAGTTTGCGAAATGCCTCGATGAGGCATACTCAGTCGTACCATGAGAGTCAGTCAGGCGGCACCTCCCGTCAGTCCGGCTTTCATAGTGCCCAGGCGGTACCAAACTTACCATTTGTGCCGCAACAACAGTATTTTATGCAGCCACCTCCATTTGGTGGACCTGCAGCAAAAAACGTCCAACCTATGGACTGGCAGCTACGGTTGCTTAGACTTGGTGAACAGCCGTCGGCCTTCTCCAAGGAAATTACTGAAGCCGCTCAGCCGGCCAAAGTAAAAAATGTACTAGTAGGCGCCTATGACGGCACTACTAACCCAGAAGACCATCTGATGGCATTCACCAACCTGATGTACCTTCAAGGGTTGGATGATCCCACTTGGTGCAAGTGTTTCCCAGCGACTCTCAAGGGAATCGCACAGCAATGGTTCGGCAACCTGCCGACTGGTTGTGTAAACAGCTTCAGGACGCTTGCTTACTTATTTGCCTCCAACTTCGCCATGAACATCCCTGCGAAGAAAACGACCCTTGATTTGGGAACAATTCAGCAGGGCGAGAAGGAGGGGCTTCGTTCTTACATCAGGCGGTTCAACCTGATGAGAATACAGATTCAAGGGTTACCGGATGAGGTAGCTTATACTGACTTTTTTAGAGGTCTCAAAGACGGGTCTACCTTCAAATTTGATTTAGTTCGAAAAAGGGTGGCGACTCTTCAAGAGGCCTTGATTGAAGCAGAAGCCTATATACAGGCGACTGATCTGTGTACGATAAAACAGTCGGACGGGAAAAGGTTCGACAAAAGAGAAGGACGACAGAAACAGTCGTCTAACAAAGATGAGAAAAGAAAAGAGGTCTGGGCGGTTGATTCCTCTAAACAGCCGGCCCAGAAAAAGAAAAAAGAATTCAAACCATACTCCCCAAAGTATGTGTTTAACAAGGATAACCAGTTTATCCTAAAAGAAATAAAGGGACGGTTCTCAATTGAGAAGCCGGTCCCCATGAAGGGTTCTGCAAACAACCGGAACCAAGACAAAATCTGTGCTTATCATGATGACGTTGGTCATCACACCAATGACTGCATCAGTCTCATGCGGTACCTAGACCGCTTGGCTGAGCAAGGTGATCTTGACACTTATGTCAAGAAATCTACGGGGAACACTTCCTCAAAAAAGCAGTCGGCCAAAAAGAATCAACAGGCCGACAGTTCCGATACAGATGATGCAGTCGTCTACACCATTGCAGGCGGCTTCTCAGGAGGCGGCCCCACTATTAGGGGCAACAAAGATAATATAAGGCGGTTAGATGTAAATTCCGTTCACCAAGAACGGCCGTCCAAATATACATTTCCTGAGATTGTCATCACTGAAGAGGATCTAGGAGGGGTAAGGGGGCCGCATGACGACCCTCTCGTTATTGAATGTAAAGTGGCCAACCAGAGAGTTGGCCGAATCCTCATAGATACCGGGAGCTCCTCAGATCTCATCAGCAGCAAATGTCTGTCAAAACTGAAATATCAGACGGACTGCATACATCCGGCCTCCCACCCTTTAATAGGGTTTGGAGGAGGAGTCGTCCACCCACTGGGAC